TTATATATTTATTTTTATTTTTTGGAATTTTTAATTTAATTTCTTAACTTATTTAAAATGAGAAAAATACAAAGTACTATTATACCCTTCTAAATTTGGTCCAAATTGGTCAAAATTCAAATTTTTTGGTCCATCCATTTGGATTTTAGCTGCATATTTATGAAATGTTAGGAATTTTCACTAACACAAAATGAAGGTTAAGATAAAATCTGTAAAAATTGAAAAATTTGAGACCCCACTGCAATTTTCCTTAAAAAATTAGAGAAAGTGCACATAAATGGGTTTCATTCTCCTTAAAAACTATGAATAGCCAAGGCTTCATTGGCTTGAAAGCTTTGGCTTTAACCGCCATTCTTTCTCCACCTTTTCCCTAGTGTGTTTTCTCTCTACCGTACTATATACAGTTTATTGTTTAGAGCCAGCGATGGCAACACATAGCCTAGGAAATGTAGCAATGAATTTAATTTGTTGTTCTCCGTCCTCTCCATTCCTCCAAAAACACTTGGAAGAAGTTCGATCTCTCTTTCCCGACATTGAAAATCAATTCGAGGATTATTTGGTCTTGCCTCTGGGTCTTCGTCTACTGTCTTTTTTCAACTAAAATCAAGGCATTGGCTTGATTTGATTTTCTTTGTTTTTCCTGCAAAAAATCAGTGGTTACTACCTTACTGGGATGAGTTGTCTCAAAGACGAATTTGTTATTAGTACATCTTTATCTTCAATTGTTATGAATATATTTTGCATATATGTTGATATCACAACGCTTGTTGTGTCCTGGATGATTTTACCCTTTTCCTTTTGTATTTTTGGTTTAGAGCTAGAAGTTTAAACCTTGAATTATTGAGAGGTCGATGTTGAGTGTATTAGCAATATTGATTTTCATTTTTTCTTTTTGTACTTTGGAACGTTGTTATCTCCTTATGTTTCGCTTTAGGATGTATTCAAAAGTGATGACTTCATTGGATTTTGTGGATCTTTCACAAATTTGTATAAAATTAGTGAAAATCTTTTATTTTAAATCTTTTATAGAATTTTGTAGAAATCAAAGACTTTTTGAATAGAATCCACGTGAATTTAGTACAATAATGTGAAATCGATGATAGTTTCCACAATTTTCCTTCCCCTTCCCCTACTTGTACGATAAAAAATTATTTTAAAGAGAATAAAAATTTAAGCTCCCGTTTGATCCCTTTTTTTGTCCAAAATTCATTTTTCCGTCACATCAACATGGGACCTACACACCATTGTTTATTGTGAATTGAATTCAAAAGGCATAAAATTCTAACTTTACCCTTTGTATTTATCAAAAATCAAAACAATTCAAAATGGTACCCAAAACTCGTTGAAAGTTCAAATGGTTTGGAAAGCTTGTCTACCTCACACATTTCCCAAGAATTTCTACCCAAACCCCATCATATGCCTTCTGCAAATTGCACACGTTAGGTGGGTAACAATGGTTCTACTAGTCAAATGGCCCTTCACAAATTTGTCTTGTTCCCACATTTCCCAACAAATTCTATCGACACCCCTACTATATGATTTTCGAAACGACATTGACCAACTCGGTACAAGTTAATTTTCTCGTGCCAGCTGCTTAGCTGTTTTCCTTTCGAACTTGTATAATATTGGAAAAAAGAACAAAAATCAAATGGAACTGTCCGCTTTATCAATTATGCTCATGAGTGCATCTACAATCAGAAGCATTTTTTTAGCAATGAACGTTAGGTACAAAAATTAGGCTAGATCACGACTGTTATTTTTTGATTAGTAAAGTTAATGATTTGTTGGATTGATATGACAAAATGTCTCCTAAAAATGAAAATGTTGTGTCTATTGTAAGGAATACAAAAATATATTAACTGGGAACACATATTTTCATAAAAATTACACCACATGCCATGCCTGTGTAAAAAATTGAAAGCAAATTATAGGACTCAAACCAATGTTCACGATAAATATAGAAGGCCGGACCATGGGATCCACGAGATAATGACCTAATGAGAAGAACAATATTTTGTCACAACTTTCAAATATTTCATAAGCAAATTGGCATGACGACTGCTGTGCCATGTAATCTCGAAGTCTATCCCACTCAGTTCGTTGCATGTCCGGTGCATTCATTTTGGCATGAATTTCATCTTTTGCATCAGGAAGCTCCACCTCGGCTGCATCTTCATCTGCCTCCGCTTTAGTAAACGCCTCATCCACTACTCCTCAACGCCGCAGGAAATTATGCATCCCCATCGTGGCTACCACAATTGCAACTTGCGTCGGGAAATGGTAGCTTGGCATACAATCCAAGACTTCCATCTTTGTTTCAACATACCAAATGCACGTTCTATGACATTCCTACAGGATGAGTGCTTGAAATTAAATTTCTCTCTAGAATTTCGAAATCTACGACGACGTCCCGTTCCCTTGTCGCAAAACTGCTGAAAATGGTACAGTATGTCCACACCTTTGTACGGGACCATATTCCCGGGACGAAAAATTTAAGCTCCCATTTGATTCCCATTTTTATCCAAAATGCATTTTTTCCGTCACATCATCGCGGGACCTGCACACCATTGTTTATTATGATTCGAATTCAAAAGGCATAAAATTCCAACTTTACCTCTTGTACTTATCAAAAATCAAAACAATTCAAAATGGTGCCCAAAACTCGTTGAAAGTTCAAATAGTTTAGAAAGCTTGTCTACGTCACACATTTCCCAAGAATTTCTAACCAAACCCCAACAGATGCCTTCTACAAATTACACATGTTGGGTGAGTAAAAATGGGTTTACTTGTCGAATGGCCCCTTACAAATTTGTCTTGTTCCCACATTTCCCAACAAATTCTACTGACAACCCAACCATATGATTTTCGAAACAACATTGACCAACCTAGTACAAGTTAATTTTCTTGTGCCAGTTGCTTAGCTGTTTCCCTTTTGAACTCGTATAATATTGGGAAAAAAATCAAATGGAACTGTCCGCTTTATCGACTATGATCATGAGTATGTCTACAAATAGAGGTATTTTTTTAGCAATGAGCGCTAGGTATAAAAATTAGGCTAGTTCACGTCTGTTACTTTTTTGAGTAGTAAAGTTAATGGTGTATTGGATTGATATGACAAAATATCTCCTAAAAATGAAAATGTTGCGTCTATTGTAAGGAATACAAAAATCTATTAACTAGGAACGCATATATTTTCATAAAAATTACACCACGTACCATTCCTGCGTAAAAAAATTGAAAGCAAATTACAGGACACAAACCAATGTTCACGATAAATATAGAAGGCCGGACCATGAGATCTACGAGACAATGACCTAATGAGAAGAACTATATTTTGTCACAACCTTCAAATATTTCAAAAGCAAATTGGGGTCGCGGCTGCTGTACCAGATAATCTCGAAGTCTGTCTCACTCATTTTGTTGCATGTCCGGTGCATTCATTTCGACATGCATTTCATCTTCTACATCAGGAAGCTCCATCTCGACTGCATCTTCATCCGCCTCCGCTCTAGTGAACGCCTCATCCACTACTCCTCAAAGCCGCAGGAAATTATGTATCCCCATCGTGGCGACACAATTGCAACTTGCGTCGGGAAATGGTAGCTTGGCATACAATCTAAGATCTTCCATGTTTGTTTCCACACACCAAATAAACATTCTATGACGTTCCTGCAGGATGAGTGCCCGAAGTTAAATTTCTCTCGAGCATTTCGAAATCTACGACGATGTCCCATTCGTTCGTCGCGAAACTGCTTAAAATGGTACAGCATGTCCGAACCTTTGTACGGGGCCATATACCAGGACGATGAACAAACCCAGAGTCCATTAAATAATACTTACTCGAGGTTGGCAACGAAAAATGTATTTTCGGAATGTGGATGGCACGAGCAAGCATTCGCATATCATGAGTATTGTTGGAGTGTTCTGCGAGCATGAACGTGAAGCATAAATTAAAATCACGTGCAGCCAACACGTTCTGTTTCGGCACTCCTTTTCGCCCTATGAAGTTCAGTTGTTCGTGTCATGGTAGCACAGCTTTGACATGCATTCCATCAATAGCACCGATGGAGTCCCCGAATAGTGGATGCTTGCTCAGATCCGACCTATGCAGCTCGATATCGTCGTTGTATTTCGGACTTTGATGAATCAGACCTGTTGAAAACGCGACGACCGCACGTAGAATCTCTTTAACGTAGTGACATACGATTTGCAAAAAGTGGTTGAAAATCGTTGTCACTTGTCGATATCCCTTCCCGTGCGCTAATATGCACAAAAACATGCCAACTTGATCGTAGATGTCGACCTGCTGGCTGCTGTGAAGCCCATGCTCGTCGTGCAACACATGAGCGAAATGTCGAAGTATTGCAGGATACATACAAAACTCTTGGTAGCACATCTGACCATTCCCACCTATTGCTTCCATCATAAGCATGTGACCATTCCTGGATAACCAAAAACGTTGGATACAATGCTGCTGCTTGTGATAGTAATTATGTGCGTTGACGTCAAAGATTCTGCAGTAAGTAACCTATGCCATTGCATCAGCTGCCAAATGGTAAAAGAATTGCTCTTCCTTACATTCCTCCTTAGAGTAAGAGCCCGGCATTAGAACGCAATTGAAGTTCAAGTCATCCATAATGCCAAACATGTATTACATTACTATAGTTAGACAGCCAAAGCTTGTTATAGAACTATGTTTACCGCAGTTTCATTAGACACCCTTAGAGCACCTCATATATTTTTCTGCATCACTCGGTGCATAGGCATTTATAGAATGTGGGATTCGGTATGAGTACATCATATGCACAACTGAACTCATGATTTCAAGTTAGAACGACTGTGCCACAACAATTGCCTTACATTAAATTATTTATCGTGAAACTTGCTTCTTGGAACAGAAAAATGTGTACTTGAATCATGCCAATATTTTTTATTAGATTTGTCGTGACAATTTTTACTAATCACAAGTGAAAATTGTTCCAACATCATAGCATGAAAAATATTTAAACACACAACGTACAACGGGGACAGATCGATGCATACAAAAGTTAAACAGTTTTTGGGACACAACACGTAGGTACATTTAATGCGCACAGTCAAAGGCAGATCGCTTGTCCTACTCGTTGAACAGCCATGCAATCCACTCAAATTTCTCATCTGCATCTTTCATGACGGCGAGTATGTCCCGACAGCACTTTTGAGCTAGAACTACACAGGCAAAAAGTAGAACGGTGTCCGCTGTAGAAGTCATCATGTCGCCAAGAACTCTTCTACATAGGCAATGCCACTTCCTCCACGGCACTGGTGGCCCGATCGACAGAAAACGATAGCTCTCGAGCAGATATTTTTTTCTTCTTCCCCCGTCGCTTGGCACTAGAGGACTTCCTTTTAGCATCCCTTGTGGTGCTGGAAACGTTCATGCCGGATCCATCGGGCATTTCCTCTGCTCCATCAATTGAACCACTACTCTCATCGTCGATCAAAATTGCATCACGGTGGTCTTCCAGTGTTCTATCCTCGAACAGCCCGAACCTCGTTCTACACAACTTCGTCGAAGTGATTGCATAATTTTCACCATCGTAATCGTCCCCAAATAGTTGACGAAGCGAATGTAGATCTTACTTACGGCATTGTCCTTGAAGTCCTTGTAGTCTTTATACTCTTGCGAACAAGGGTTAAAAATGAGGACAACAGTTCAACGAAAAATCAGAATGTGCCGAAAAAGAATTTACTGAAAATGTCAAACAATATTACGCATGGGTACAAGAAAAGACTACAGTGTTAGCTATTTCCAGAATGTAGTTTCGTAGATGTCGACTTGCATTAATCAAAACCATTAAAGGGAAACAAAAATTAACAGCATTATCTTAATCTTTTGATTCCACCACTCCTCCGGTGCAACGACTCGACTGGTGGATGCGTTGTACTCATCCCTGCAAAAAATTAACAACTTGGAGAGACATATGTGAGTTCGATGCATGGCGTCCCAGTGGTTCTATTCATATTAACCTCAATCTCACAATCACTAGTAAATTGCCAGAATTCAAGTTTAGCAACTCAATTCAAGTGTTTGATGTCAGATGCAATGCAATCGGAAGACAATAATAACTCATAGCTAATCAATAATATCTTGTAACACAGAGGCATATTTCTATTGATCAACATTTCTTTGCATTCACATAATTTTGAAGCTTCATTTTACTTTGATAATATTTTTAGTACTTCATGAAAAATCCATATATCTTGTCCTCATAATACTGGTATGAACGCTTCTGTTTCACTTAAAATTTTATAGCACCTTGCATACTTGAAAACCAAAATACAATCAAATGGACACTGAAAATAGCATAATAATTCGGTAGGGGTTGCCATCTGGTCTACAAGAAAAGAATAGTCTATTGAAAGGTAGAAAAATGACGGCGAGTACGGGACAATTGCTGGGAGCAAACCTATGTCTCAGTGGGATCCATATGGCCGGTAGAGATCCGAACTGAGAGGCGGCTTTGTAAGTCAATGTATGATTGCAGTTTGTTGGAGACGTCGTCATATCTTCTTGAAAAAAAAGTGCGTTGCAGACCTTATGAGAAATTGGTAGTGTCGTCGCCAATTTGTGCAGCTGAAGGTTGTGGGAAGAATCTTGGTTTGCGTAGCTGAAGGTTCTAAGAAGTGCTGTCACCAGTTTGCTCATTGTCTATAAGGGATTGGGTGTCTTTGATTTGTTGGTGGGGAATGGCAGGTAATGAAAAATAGAAAGCCACTGTTTAAGTCACCTGGGCTATCAGAAAAATAATTGGCAACGGTCCCAAAATTAATTTTTGACCAAAATTAATGGCTCCCAAACAGCCCCTAAGATTTTAAATAAATAATAAACAAAATTATACATATATATGATAAAAAAACATTTAATATTCAATATTATTAATATAATATACATTTAAAAATAAAAATAAAAAGTCAATATACTTAAATTTAATTATAATATAATAAATTTTGATCATACCTCTAATGTTCGTATAAGGAAAGAGTAAAGATAAATATTGAAAAAAAAGGACCTTTTTTAGTGAAAGTTTCCCGAAATCTCGTGATTAATGAGAGACAAATTTTGTGATTTTATGTGTGTACTTTCTACTTAAAATAAGTGGAATGGCAGAAAAAATCTCACCGGAGGTCCTACCACCCGCCGTCATGTCCGCCACGCGTTGCCCAATCACCAATTGTTGCCACGCGCCACCGCACAGGGGATGCCCCGGCCTGCTGGTCGTGGGTCTGACCTCCGTTTGTCCAACGAAGGTCTCATTTGGAAGTAATTTAAGATTTTAGCCTCAGTTAGTTTGAAGGTACTGTTGAAATTTCACACCCTATGCTCTGATACCAATTGTAGGAACTCCAATCTTCAACCACCAAGGTCTTTATAGGCTCAGTTAACCAAAACCAAATCAATACCAACACTCAAACGACCCAAGAACTCCACAAAGTTTCCACCTACGGTTGCTAGATTTTACCTCACTTAGAGACCACCACAAAGGAGAAATAAAATCATCAAGAAAGTCACCACAAAGGGACGAGCAGAAGAAGTAGAAAGAACAGGTCGAAGAGAATACGCAGAGAGCACAAGAGAGAACACAAAGTCTTGTAGAGGCCATGTGAAACACAAGTAAATATAGATGGTCCA